TATCCACTCTACAATAGTGGCAAAACTGTATAGTCATCCAGCTGCTAACATCAATAAACATGAGTTTTCTTCTCAGAATTTATGTCAAGAGGAAATCAGAGAAGCATAAGAAGCAATGCAAGCTTTTTGTGGATCTCAGAGCTCCAAGTGACTCTCTGTAACTGCTGTAACTAACCTCTTCCAAGACTTGATTTCAATTTGATGTTCTCCAATCTCATTTTATAATCAGAGTCCCGTATGAAACACTTGGAAATTGTTAAGATGAATGCAAACATGGCAATAGTAGTTCCCAGCGCTAAGAAATCTCCAGGGGTCTTTTCAATGCTACATGCATGCTTGAAAGGAGTACATATTATATATCTATTCTTATATGTGTAAAAGCAAATATGCTATAGTGTTGACTTTCTCTCTAGTACTATGCCGCCAACTGAAGCATGGCCATTATTACTAATAGTGCACAGCAAAATCACCATTTGTGCAAGTTGTAGACAGATAATGCCTGCCTGGCTCGTTCATGACTTTACAGCATTTATATGTCTTTTCCATTTCTTTCTGTCATCTATTTGAAGGATTCTAGTGGAGCAGAGAGTTAACTTTTGTTTATTTCCCAGAGACGTCTTGAAAGGTTATACAAAGACATAAATGTAGCCAAAAAAAAAAAAAAAAAAAAAAAAGACAGTTATGTTTCTAAAAATTGCAACCTTTGAATTAGCAAAGTGAGAAAGTATTGAGATGGTTTTAAAGTTCATTAGCAATATATGTTTAGATTGCAGCAGGTCTTAAGTGGAAGTGGGATTTTTTTTTTAAGTTGTTTTTGGTCCACACTTACTGAAGTCTGGCACAAAGCTGCAATGTTGGCCTGGAGAGGTGCAGTCTCGATGGCCTGGCTGCCTTCCCTAAGAAGCCATGAGCAAAGCAATGCTTGACTTCTTTTGTAATGAGAATGCTGTGCTGTCTTTCAGCAGCTCTTAGTTTCAAGGAGTTTTATGCTTTTATAAAGCTTCCCTGTATGTTTATAGGTGGCAAGTGGAAGGGTCTGAAATCTGTTTGTAGACAGTTGAGGAACAGATTGCCATTTCAGAGCTCCTGGGCAGGTGTGAGTCAGAGTCTGAAAGAGTAAGCTCCAGTACTATGTTACATGGTGCCATGGTTGCACCATTGTGAAATGGGCTGACAGATGTGTTTGAAGAATAGTCAGCTTGTTCTCTAAGAAGTCTTCTGTCCAAAATTGCTTGGGGTAAGCAGTTTGGCAACCCCTGAGTCAGGACTGGGCCCATGATGGTTGTTGGTTGAGAGATCCTCTAGCAGGACTTCCTGTGACCCAAAGACCTGAGTAACCCATGGGGTTTCAGCTGAGTTCTTCCGCTTACTTGTTCACGGAAGAAGCCAACTCCAAGTTTGGCATCAGCTTCCTAGTCAGCTGAAATAATGCAGACATTGGTAAGCAGTGATTACACAGCAGCCACAGCTGAATCAATAAGACTTGTCCAATAAAATGCACGATGGGGAAGAACTTTCCATGAAGCTCAAGAATGAATTTTCACTATATCAAAGAAAATGTGGGTGGCAAAATGGGCTGACCATCAGTCAAGGAAATGAACAAATTCCAGGAAGGTAAACTGGGCTTACCCCTAGTTAACTCTCTGATAATTCGTTTGCTTGCCCATGCGCTTGGTTTCCCACAGGAGACCAAAGCAATGCAGAGGCATTTTGTGACTAGAACTAGCTTCCATGTCTACCTAAGCAACGCAACAGCTGGCTCTGAGAGGCAAAGTTAACAAACTCAGGCATCAATGTGTGCGTACCCGCCATTATACCACAGGAGCCATCGTAACTGAATGGATGAGTGTTATTTCTGCCTTGCTGGCATAGTAAATGTGCTGATGGTAGTGAAGTTTCTATTGTAAAGCCCAAGAAAGCAAGAGGAACACCAGGCCCATAAAATCTGTAACTGTTTTGTTCCAAAGTCAGATCAGCAGATCCAACATATTTCCCTTACAATATACATATTTAGTGGTTCAGTTAATAATTCTTCATTCACAGAAACTAAGATACTAAAGACTTCTGAAGGGAAAGGAGAAACTGAAGCACAAATTAGCTAAATATTCTGAGCAAGGTTTTGAACTAGATTTGGGTTAGTGCTATTGGAGAACAGTTTCTAGTTTTCCCTGTGTTCCCTATGGAACTAATATTTACAGATTTGGATTTGTAAATCCAAAATACATGAACTCTTTATAGTGACCTATAACTATGAACTCTTTAAAGTGTCCTTTATATAGCAGAATGATGCTTTCTGCTGTATATGTATGTTTGTTACCTGTTATTAGCTTTTGTGTCCTGTTGTCTTTCATGTATGCATTCAACTCAAAACATTCATATAGCCACTGGAATTTTCTGCATGTATCAAGTTTACAGTCTTCAACTGCCAAAAGAATGTTGTGGTCTTTGTCATGCTACACACGTGTGAAAGGAGTGCATGAGCAAACATGATACCTTTACACTTGCAGTTGTCTTTTGAACAAACGTAAAAATAGCTTTCACCCTCAAGGACAGATGTTGCAGGATCCCAAGGTCCTGAGGTGCCATTCACTATCATGCAGACTCGAATTTCATTGAAAGCAGGTTTATAGTGAAGAGTAATGGCAAAGATGTGAAGTGGCCACAGTACAGAACCCACTGTGGCAGACATTCCTGAACTCTGTGATGCTGGATGCGTGTCCCTCCTCCCGTTTCCAGATTGGGCCTCTCTGCCCTTGGGTTTGTGTCCTATAACACTTAGTTTGTCCATATTCCAATCACACTGCAGATATATATCATGTAGTCATGTGATGCTGTCTCCTCAAGCACATTATTTTGGGGTTTTGCTTGATTGTTTTTTTTTTCCCTGAAAGCTAGAATCAAACAGAGGTAAGACTTATTCTGATAAACTTCCAGGAAACATTCAGGGAAGAAAGAAAAAAAGCAGAGCTGTCTTGCTGTTGCACAGACTGTAACCATGGACCTGCGTAAACAACTGGAGAATACTGAGAGGAACTGGAATAAAGAGAAGATGGAATTGCTGGAGAGATTTGACAACGAAAGGAAAGAATGGGAATGTCAATGGAAGGTCATGCAGAAGAAAATAGAAGAGGTACTTTTAAACAGAAATTTGAACACTAACATTTTCACTTGGGGTGAAGTGACTAGGGGTCACTTCAGTTTCTTTTCTCTCTGAATTATATCCTATTTCTTATCTGTCACTGGAAGTTTCTAATAGCTGACGATAGGATGCAAAGCCTGGGGTTAGGCAGTATTTGCAGTTGCTCATTTAATAGTCATGAGTATGAAGCAGAAGGTTAAGTGTCACTTCATGTGAAGTTTGCTATGATATCATTGGCTGTATGTCCTGCTGCCAGTTCTGCTGAGCATGAGACATGCTGCTCATATTATTCATGCTTTTTTCAAGTACATGCTGAAAACTGCATATATGGGGTTTAGGAAAATGCATATTTACTAACAAAAAATCTAGGTATCATAATTCTCTGGCAAAAAGGAATTGGATGACACAGGTCTGCTGGGGTAAATGGTAATGTTAAAAAGAACATCATAAATTAAACACTGCATGATGCGTTCTGCCTAGAACCTGCTCCATTTATGGATGGCTTTTAGTAAAGAAAACAGCTACAGTAAATAGCATGAAAGTCCTGACACCACTTGTGTTTGCAGATACTAACAAACATCACTCCCTGCCATTTCTAATGCATCTTCTTTCAGAACTATTTAAGGCAATTATTTATTATTCTTTTATCCCCAAACTGTCCCTGCAGCAGAACCCTCTGGCACGCTGTAATGCATAAATTGAATCTCCCTTGGCAACATATAGAAGCAAGTTATTTCACCACCGAGCTTTCCACATTTTTCATTCTAATATACACATGGAGTAGTTTTGCTTGCTCTCTGCCAACACGGTCCTGTGGCTGAGCAACGCAGGAATGTATGGCAGAGATTGCTCACATGAAAGTATGAGAAGGAAAATGATCAGAGCCAAATGAATTGCAGCCATACACTGCCTGTTAAACCACCGTGCAGCACAACTCCATAATGTCATCTCTCTTATATTTTACCTGCAGTTCTTGCAGACTTTGGTATGACAGTTTTTGCCACATTTTGTCTTTTGTGTTAGGACATTTCTGTGCAGTCTTACTTAATTTCACTGCCAAAGTGAGAGTGCTTCAAAAGTTAGTTAATGTGATCTCTGTGTGTAGCTGAATTTCAGTTTGTTAGGTGTATGAGCTGTGTTGAAATGACAGTAATGTGTTGTGAAAAGGTATTCTGGCTATTAGTAGTCCTGACAATGGCAGCACAGACCATGTTTTTTCCATGTTTTTTTTTAACATATGGATTAGGAAAGCATGATGGAGACAGAAAAAGAGATGAAGAATAGAATGGGGCTGAGGGGAAAATAATGAAGCAAATTACTGGGTACTGCAGGACCAGACAAAACTGCAGATGATACCCCAAGGTATCCTAAGGTCCCCTCTTAAGCTGTGTCTATAGCTGCCCTTGCTTTCAGTTGCCTGAAGTTTCTTGGCCAAAAGCCACATGGCTGGAGAAAAGGAGAGATACCTTTTAAATGCCATCATCTGTAGAGGGGTTTCCTCAATAAAACTTGTGCTACCTTATCAGCTTGTCTTTTTATTTGGTAGTTTTCTCTAGCCCACCAAACCTAACTTAATTCCTAGATTCCTCCAGGAAGACTTATGTCGTTTAGGAGATGATATTGTCAAGTTATTGTATCCTTCCTTTTTATTGCTTTGCTGAGACCATATGAGGCCCTCATTTCTTGGAAATGACAAAGTTCAGCCCTCAGGTTCCATGTGTAGCTGGGCTTTGGGAGTGAGACCTGAAAACCCAGGATGAGGTCAAGTGTCACGTCTCTGAACGTGAGAATACTTCTAATCCACAGCACTACCCATGAAATGGCCACATGTTCTTTATGTTGTTATTCTTTTTCACTGTCCTTCCAAAAGCTGTTGTGATGGCCTTGTGCGCTGAGAGAGAGCAGGCAGATGGCTGTTCAGAGGTGCCTGCTCTGCACTTTCTTCGTAAGACCAAGTTAGGGATTAATGTTTATAAAGAGCCGTGGGATTCTTGGCATGGGAAATGATACTGCAAGCAGAAGAAGTTTTTATGATGTTGCTATTTTTTCTAATTTATAATTTATCACAGCTCCCTAGTTTGAATGTGCTGGGTGACAGGAATTAACACCTTTTCATTTACCAGTGAAGCCACTGGATCTCAGCAGATAGCATGAAAGAAGATAAGAGGGTGACAGCACACTGCCAAATAATACCATTCTGCACACTGATTTATCACTCCAGTCATAGGGAAGAATTCCACCTGCCTGAGAACCAGAGGAGTCTGTTCTAGTGCAGACAGCGCTATATGTGATGAGAATTCACTTCCCCTCCTTAAACTAATATACTTTAACAGGTTGTAACATAGCCAGAGCCCTCGCCCTCCCTCACATTCCCTCACATTCCCCATCCATCAGATCAGGGCTGTGTCCACCACCTAGCGCGATGATGTTACTTGGAAGACAACCATACAGCTTCTGGCTCAAGGCAGGGCCATTGACTGCGTGAGATCCCTTCCAATCCCATCCTATGGGCGGAAGCCACACATTAAAACCATGGCAAAGAGTTTGAATGGTAACAGCCCTTTCATCATCCTGTGACATAATGGTCTGTGAACTATCACACTGTGTGACTCAACACTTTTCTACTAACACAGGTATAAAATCTTTCTACTTGGTGCTACTGAGTGAAGAGTCATTCAAAACAGAACATGAACGTGTTCTTTTACCATGAAGTTCATCACAATACCATGATTTAATAGAGGGTTCTATTGTTTTTTCAGCTTTACCAGGAGGTAAAACTTAGAAGGGAGAGCAATATGAATGTCCATGATAATAAGGCCATTCAGAGCAAGATGCTGCAGCTGTCCATGCATTCCCCTGCTTCAGAAGAGAGTGGCACGGTGGAGCTGAACTATCAACACAATGTGGCAAATGACAGGATGGAAAAAGAGGGCTTGCTCAGTAAAACAGGACACGAATGTAAAGAAACCAGAGCCAAGAGCAGAAACAATACTCTGTTAATGGATAACCTGGCCTTTGAGAACTGTGAGGAACCTGAAGACAGCCTCAGCATCAAAACTTCCAAGAAAAATGCCAAGAATTATATTGGTGATCTCAATGTAGTAAGTAAAGTATGAGTTACAAGGGTGAGGAGAACACTAAGGGCTTGGGCCTTCCAGGTTAACCTAAAGAACTGATCTCCTTGATTTTAGCTTTCCCACAAAGCACACTCTGCTTCCTCCTCTGTTTGCTATTGATGAGTGTCTTCTCACTGTTTAAATGTGTTAACAGCATGCTCTTCACCTCTGTTCACAACCTGGGGGCATTTTTGTATCGTTGCTTGTGCTACCTTCCTTTGCTGTGCGTCTTAGATGCAAATCGCCACATTTCAAAATAGTTCTGGAGATACCATTTAAAAGGCTTATATTAAACAACTGTTTTTATATTTATAAAGGCTCTTAAAGAACTTGCCAGGGTCAGTGAAGAATTATGCAGCTATCAAGAGGAAATTAGAAAGAAGTCCAACCACAGAAGGTAAAACCATATTTGGACTCTTTATGTTTGAGGAAGAAAATGAATAACGAGACTGTTCTCCTTTTCACTTTGAAGGGGGGCTTGCTGTTGAATTTATTAGGAGTTGGGCTGTTCCTATCCTCTGATTGTTTCAGTGCTCAGCATAAAACATTGAAATGAAATATACTGAAATAATATACAAGGGCACGTTTTACTAGCAAAATGGAGTTTATCTATAGAACCTACAAAACAAAATTAGTACTTGTACGAGATGAAAGTGTACTTGTTTCTAATGGCTATACAGAGGATCCGGAAAGTGAACAGATATTTCTATCTATCTGCCCTGGTCCCATTTCCATGAATTTCTATACAACACTGGATGGGTTTGTCAGGTTGGGAGATTTCTGAGATTAATCCCAGATCTAGCCTTAAATGTGGGGGATGTGTCAGGGACTGAGAGTCCAAGACTGCAAAGAAGGCAAGGCAAGAAATAACAACCATACATTTGTAGTAATGGAAAGATGGTTAAGCCAGACCCTGAAAAGTATGGCAAATGGACATTCTGCCATCTGTTAAAAATTCAATGGTCGTGGTCTCCTTTAGGAAGGTAAACACCAGTCTTCCTCTTGAGTTGTGCAGAAATTCTCAGAAGGTAAGACTGAACCCATGGTGTGCCATGGTGCACACCATGAAAGAGATTGAGACAGGCTATGTCTCAGCTACACTGAGACCCCATGGAACTCTGCATCATGGCAAGCTCTTCTCACATGCTCCCAAAGAGCAGAGGGACTTCTTATGCAATCATGCATACCATGCATGCAATAAAACCATGCAATCAGTTGGCTGTCTGTCACTAATTTATTATCGTAGCTGTGTTAGTGTTTGGATCTTTAAAGCAAACATATTCACAGCTGATGCATAGTTTCTAAATCTTGGCTGAGAAAGGTGATTTTTTAACATATCTATACTGTCATATGTGATGTTAGGAAACCTACACAAGGGATGCACTATGTCCTAAAGCTTTCTTCATTCAGTTCACAGTCAGGTAGACTCTCACTGGAGTCATCAGAACTCAAAAGATCCCACTGTTCTTACTGTAGGATAGGTAAGAAAACAAGCAATCATCTACAAAAACTCAAAAAAAAGAATTCTAGTGGCAAGGGAAAGGAATACAAAATTCCCTTTGTTGAGCTTTCTTCGAATTCTTCATGTATGTTTCAAATACGCCGGGTGTATCAGCTGCAGCAAAACTGCTTTCAAATCTTTTTAAGCAGCCAGTGTTAAAACACCTGCTTATGGGGAGAATGAATCCATGCTGAGGTCCCCTGGGGGAATACCCTCATTGCTCATCCCTAAAATACTTCTTTTATTTCCAGAATGAAGTCACTTCCTTTCCTGGGGGAATTTGAGGAAACCCAAAATGCAGTTATTCTGCCTGAGATGAATCATGTGTCCAGCAATGAATCACAGACTTCAGTTGCTTTTGAAACAGAGGAACATAATAATAAGAAGAATCTGATGAGCTCCACCAAGGCTTTGAAGGACGTGTCTTATGGTGGTCTTACTGGTGACAGAGAAACAGTCTTCAGACCTTGGCAAAAGAAAGAAGCTCCACCAGTTCCTCCACGGAGCACTTCTCGGCACCTAACAAACTCACTTTCTGCAGTTGTACAGCTTTCTGAAGCACCAATAAGGGATCCAGGCATCAAAAGCAATTGCAAGGTGCAGGACTGTAGGAGTGGAAGGAAATTGATAAATCCTTCACCTATAAATCAGAATGAAACTGCAGCAGCCTGTGCAAATGAAGGGCAGGCTGGGAAAGGTCCTGTGATGGTAACTGCTGCAACACCTGTAATCAAAAATGAGTGCAATGTACCAACAAGTTTCTGCCACAATACGTGGGCATATGATGTGGGCAAACTTGGAAAAGACAATAAAAGTGAACCTTCCCCACTATCAGCCCAAAAGAGTTGCTCAGATGGAAATATGGCCCAAAGCAACCTGGTGCACCAGAAACAAAATCCCAAGTCTCACAGCAGCCCTTATTACAATAATGACTTTTATGCCCCTGCTACACTGCACAATGATCTTTCGGAAGACTCTAGGTTTAGTTTGGGAAAGACCCAAAGAAATGTAACTTTAGCAGCAAAGATCGATGAGTTTAACCGGACGGTATTTCACACAGGTAAACGTAACAATACTTTGCAAGAAAACCAGGTGCCTCGACCAGCGTCGGAAGATCACAAACCCCGTGGCCCACTGTGTGACTCTGCTACTAGCAGGACAGAAAATGTAAATACCTCTTGTGTTTCAAATCCCAAATTCTCTGCAGCAAAGGAGCAAGAAATTAGCAACCCCAGCAAAGCTGTCAGAATGGCAGGGCAACAAAAGCAAATAAATGGACTTCCAAATACTAGTGGTTATAGGCACATGCTTCACGAGCATGACTGGAGACCAAGTAATTTATCCGGTCGCCCGCGTTCAGCTGACTCAAGGTCGAACTATGGTGTTGTTGAAAAGCTTTTGAAAAACTATGAAAAATCAGCAGTGACTTCTCCATGTAATGCAAAATGCTGCAAAGATAAGTGGACATGGGCAAATTCTGAATTCACCGATGGGGGTTGTGAGGCACTGAGTCAGTATTTAGAAATGCTCCAGATTGAGCAAGGAAAGCAAGAATTCCCAAGGAATTCAGCCAGGCATATTGGGCAGCAACTCAAGCAAGGAAAAGAGAGACAGAAGTTACCAGAGGTAAGGTTCATAAGAATGGCAAGAACAAAATAATTCAGTTTCATACCAAGCTTCAGATTCTAAAATGACACAGTAAATAATAATGTAAAAATAGACGCTTTAGTCCAGGATCTGGATGAATCAGGAGTATTTCTTGTGGGAGGGCAGAAACATATAAGTAAGAATGACCAGCGAAGCCGTATGCCAGATTATGATCTCTGCTGCTGTTGCGTAAAGCTAGATTTTAACTGCACTGTAGTGATTCAAGGATTAAACTAGTGAGAACTGCAATCAGCTTTTAACTCTCTCCCTCCTTCCTTTAGCTGACGAGCTATTTCATAAGCCTTCCCAAAAGACTTAGGTATGCTTGGTCATGTCAAAATCCTAGAGGGCTTAGATAGCATTCCTCAGCATCCAGGGTGCTGCTTGGTTCAGAATTTCCTTGGAACTGCCTATGAAAAAGGGTATTGTAGCTCCATAAAGTTTCCAGCAATAGTGACCTCCTCTTACTCATGTCTCAGTTCCAGGCTTCTCCTATATATTCAAGCATAGGCTCACAGAAACAGAAGAGTATGGCATGACTAATACATTTAGATTTGGCTGAATTTTATTTGCAGAAGTTCAGAAATACTGCTTTTGCCAACATTCTTTCTTAATGAAAGAGAAACAGATGGGTTTGAAAATACACTATAAGTTGCAGGTTCTGTAAAAGACCACAAAGAAAGAAAAATAATTTTTTCTGAAGAGTTCCTGGGTCAGTGAACACAGAGAGATATGCCCCTTAACGTCTCAGAAAAAAGAAGGCAAATGTGTTTGGAGCTGAGAAACTTGAACGGGTTCAGACCGTCAGCTGGTATGCTTTAAACTGTCACAAACTCATGGACTTCAGTGGAGCTATGTGGATTTAAACAGCTGAGAATCCAACCATGCCCATTTTCTTTTACATGTCTTTCGGGCAGCCTTGCAGTGATGCAATATCTTGCTTAGGAGACACATCTTTACTACCGCACAGAAAGAAAAAAACATGAAGCTTCTGATTTCTTTTTCATCCAATGAACTTTTGATAGGAAAACAAATTTTCATCAGTGAACAAGTAGGGAAGAAATAGTGGCTAGATAATGACTGAGTTTACACTGAAGTAAGCCCAGAATAACTTTACTGAGCCAATTGGATTTTTTTTCTCCATAGGCTTACACTTCATGTTGTCATTTCTATCTGTACAAACTAAGTGTAGAACACTGCCTAATTAGGGGGTACCATTTTAGATCCAGCAGCATTCACATCACAAAGATGTAAAGAACTACACATGGCATGAGGCATTTGGTTTATTTTCATTATTTCCAATTTACATCACTGTAGCTACGATCAAAATCTGTTGGTTTTCCTGTGTATATGAGGCTCTGCATGTAGACATGACACTGCATTAACACATAACCATTCTGAATTAGAAGTGTAAACAGCTTCACATTGCACTGATGGAAACAGTTCTTAGCGAGATGTGACTGCTGAAATAGGATCTATCAAAAAATACCTGAAAAGTATGTAGATCATACTCCAGTAATGTAGGATGGTGTTCTGAGTTCCACGTTTAGAACAGCATACCGTGTTCATCAACAAAAAAGCTTCCAAAAAGGAAAAGAAATGAGAAGTGAATGTCAGTTTTGGCTTGCATTAGCATTTTATACCTTTTCTTGTGTCTGGCACTTGTCTCCATATATTTTAAATGGCAACCAATGTGAGAATCCCTATACATAGAAATAGCTGTTCTTTTGCATTCTGCGCATTACTGTGCTCCTTTTAATAGCTTCAGACCACCTGTTCTGAGGTCACCC